CTACCACTTGAGCCACAGCGCCACTTCCGGCTTTTTTCGTTTTGCTTATGTGGTGCTGAGGAATCAAACCCAGGGCCTCAGACATGCAAGGCAAGCACTCTACCACTGAGCCAACTTCCCAGCCCCTCTGAATTTCTTAAAATACACGAATTACCTGAAAAGCTTGCCCAGCACACTGCTACAGAGAAGCAATCCCTGTGTCTGGCAGTCTTCCCAGGCCAGCATTCGGGCACTGCTGGTGAGCATCAGCATGGACAGGACACTGAGGTCAAGAGCTAACTCTGGTCCCAGCTCAACTACAGGACCTTTCTACCCTCTACCCAGTTACAGGTTCCATGAACCCAGCCAACTCCCTCCCTTAAATCCACCCACAGCTCCTGAAAGTCCAGGGTCAAGAAAACACTGGCTTCTTCATTTTTAAGGGCTGAACAGAAGGCTGGGGTTGTAACTCAAGTGGTAGAGTACCTCCCTAACAAGCAGGAGGCCCTGAGTTCAAACCTTACTGCCTGCCACCCAAGGTCCTACTTCACATCTGACTCCTATTTTCCAACCTCCCTTCCCAGTGGCAGTCAGTGGCAGGTAGCCATCTGCTGAAATAGGAGTACCTGTTGTCTTCAATCATCTTCAGGATTTCCTCTGATGTGACTTTCCTGAAAGTTTCTGACGGGATCTTGAGAGCTTCATACTCCGCAGGGGACAGAACTAGTTGCAGGTCAAGAACATAATTCAAGCACAATGGAAATATCCAACTAGCCAAACCTCACCTTGCGGTGGCCTTGTTGCAGACAAGAGAGCTAAGGCTCGCAGAGGAGAGGGAGCACAGTTCAGCAAGACAGAGCTCTGAGGCCCTAAACCCCTAATAATTTTAGATCCTAGCCCAAAGCTCATTGCCTACCTAAACTGTTTTGCCTCTCCTTCCTTACCAGAGCCACTGCTGGCATTTTCTATCCAACCAGACCTATTATGCAGTATAGCTCTATGCTCCAATTCTTCAGTCTCCCCTAGACCTTGGGGCACTGGCCATCTCAGAAGTCATATTTGATAATTTGTGGAGAGTGACCCTTCCAAGGCTAAGCCACCCTCACTGGGCACATAGCTATACATTGGCTTTGAATGCTAGGTGAAGAGGTCTTGTTCACCTGCCTCCTGGCAACAGCCCCAAAAGGCTTACAAATGTCTATGATGGCCACAGGACATAGACCCCTCCCCCCCTTTACAGAGTCTGGCGGTGCTAACGATCACACCACAGCTTATGAATGAAAGCAGATTTTTCTGCACAAGGATACTGTCTTCAAATTTATACACGTCTTCAGGCTTGGTTGCATCCTCATGGCAGGGAGGAAGGTACACAGAGGTATCTTGTAAGTCATCCTGAATGGCATCACTAACAAGAGCTTCCGATAAAGAGAAGACTATGTCAGTGTCATGGTGTGTTGTATCTGGTTTCCTAACATTCTTTGCAACCAAGGCAGTTAGATCACACATGCTTCAGAACCCCCTCAAGATTGAATACGTCTGCCAAGGGGACCTAAACTGCTAGTCAGGCCGACTGTTCTAAGACTACGAGGCACAGAAGGTAGGAGCAGCATGCTTCTCCTTGGGAGCTTGTGATAAGAGTTGGGAGAGAGAGACGTGCTGATGATATTTACAGTATAACATCAGACAAGTTAAAAGTGAAAGATAGGGAATTGGGAAGTTGGCTCCGTGATAGAGTGCTTGCCTTGCATACATGAGGCCCTGGATTTGATTCCTCAGCACCATATAAGCAGAAAAAGCTGGAAGTGGCACTGTGGCTCAAGTGGTAGAGCACTAGCCTTGAGCTGAAGAGCTGAGGGACAGCCCCCAGGCCCAGAGTTCAGGCCCCAGGACCCACCGAAAAAAAAGAAATAGTGAGAGATAGTCATTCAGTGATTGCCTAACATGTATGCAGCCCTGGGTTTGATCCCTAGAACCCTCAAAAAAAAAAAAAATCAAGAGAGAGATGTTCAAAATAGCCTTTAAAGGTTTAACTTACAAGAGCCTTTGCACATATTCTGAGTCTTAAAAACACAAAAAAACTAGGGGCTGGGAAGGTGGCTCAGTGGTAGAGCGCTTGCCTTGCATGTCTGAGGCCCTGGGTTTGATTCCTCAGCACTACATAAGCAAAAAGAAAAAAGCCGGAAGTGGCACTGTGGCTCAAGTGGTAGAGCGCTAGCCTTGA